TCCAAGATTAAATTGTGAAAAGAACCAAGTGATTAGACAAGGGTTGTCTCACCAATGGACATCTGTTATTTCCTCCTTACTGATAGTTATGGGGTGACAGAAAAGAGGCAGAGAGGTGTACAATCATTTTTTTAAGGGAATAAGTCAAAAGTCAGAGCTTCCACAGCATAGCCACAGCTTTGCAGATGCCTACATGGTGATAGTTGAAATAGCACAGACCAGCAAAGGTTAGAGCTGAGAGTGCCAGGAGGCCAGCCTTGGCAGCTTTCTGTGGTGCATCCTCATGGACATAGTCAGTAACAACCTGTCCCATGCCCCAGTGACCATGGAGAGTGAGAACTGCAGATAGAGAGTAGTCCATCGCAGAGCAAGGATTCAAATAAGCAGCTGGAAGCAGGCCCAGGAGCAAAAACATTGACAACCCTCTCACCAGTCCAGTGGAGAGATACAGCCTTGGAACCAGAACAGTGGCTGGGGGACAGGTGAATGTGCTGCACTCCTGGAGTAGACTGGTCCTGGAGAAATGTTGAGGCAAGAGCAGGTCTGATCACTGGAGTTCGGAGGAACAGAGCTTGGGCTCCTTGAGCACCACAGACAACACTCAGCCTCTAGACCACCGCCATGTCTGTCCTTTAAAGATAGTTTTTAAATGGCTGCAATAGTACATCAACAGAGTACTGCCAGAAACCCAAACCAGATTCAGAAGAGGATGTGGAAAGTGGGAATATCTCTGCTGACGTCAGATGGATTTCAATTGAAAGCAGAGACTATCAGAAAGATGTTTACTTGTGCTTTATTGGCTATATGTGGATAATATTGTGAAGAATTGGTATTCCAGAACACTCAATTGTGCTCATGAGAAACCTGTACATATACTAAGAGGCAAATGTTCACACAGAACAAGGGCATGCTGAATGGTTTAAATTAGGAAAAGTGTGTATGAGGGTTATTACCTTTCATCATATTTGTTTAATCTGTATGCTGAGCAAATGATTTAAGAAGCTTAATTATATGAAGACAAATGTGGCATCAAGATTGGTGGAAGACTTATTAACAACCTGCGAAATACAGATGATTGCTGCTGGAAACTTTGCTTACTCAAAATGAAGAGGACTTAAAATATGTATTGAAGAAGATAAAAAAACCACAGCTTTCAATATGGATTACACCTCAGTGTAACAAGAACAAAAATCTTCTAAACAGGACCAATAAATAACATCATGATAAATGGAGAAAAGATTGTAGTTATTAAAGTTTGCATTTTCATGAATCTATAATCAACACTCATTGAAGCAGTAGTCAAGAGATCAAATGACATATTGCACTG